ATATGATTAATTCTTATGATTTTTAAGTGAGAGTGTTAAAAAAATAAAAAATATATTTTAGATAATTTGTCGCAAACCTTCTAAATCAATTACAAAAATAAAATTCATGTGTTTTATTTAGTTCTACTTTATTTAATTAAAATTTATCAAAATTAAATTTAAAGTTTTTTTTTATTTCAGTCTATTAAATTTAATATATTCTTTGTAATTTATTTATTTTTAAATTTTTTTTATTTATGCTACGTACTCCGAATCCTCCGATTATGTTCAATGATGTCTAAATAAAAAATAAACAAATTAATTTTATTAGAAATTAACTATACATCTAAACACATAATACCAACCATTTGTTATTAATTTTTTTAATATTTTAAACTTATTTTCTTTCAACTAAAAGAATTAAAATAATATTTTTGAAGAATCATACAATGATTCAAATATAACTTTTTCTACTAATGTTGTTGATTTTTTTGTAAATAAATATATATAAATTAAATGTATATTTAGAAAACAAATCTTCTATCGGTGTTAAATAAGAATGAAAACAAAATATTTGCTAATTTTTATACAATTTTTTATATTGATTTTTTATAAAATCTTATGAAAAAAATATTAAGATATTTTTAAAATTTTTGGATTAAAATTCTATTTAGATTAGTGCGAGTTTTTATTAAAAAGCCAACACATAAAAAATAATAAATCTCTTTTTTAGCTACAAATTTATGAAAAACACAAGGAAGAATAAGTTATAAAATTAAATAATTTTTTTACTTTTAATTTAATATATTTTAGTAGACCTGCAATATAGTACAAACTATCGGACTAAACTTAATTTTTAAAAATAATTTTAAATATTCCGCCGGACCTACAACATATTGCGTACAACTAACTAGTTACGTCTAAAAAACCGAAAGAAGACTGGATTATGGAATCCTATATAAATACACAAATTATTCCACTGTTCAAATTGTCCATCATCATGTAATTTGAAGATATCCCCTATTTAAAATTTATTAGAGTATACAATTATAAATATTTTTACATAATATCTTGGCATAACAATCTCAGTATTTACCAGTAATAGAAGTACACAACATATCTTACCTGATAATAAGTTTAAATTAGGAAAATATGCTAAAAATCATTATAGAAAACAGTCACTACTTCTCCACCTAGGGAGGCATGATCAATTTGTTACGGTAAGTTTTATATTGCTCTAAGGTGTCATTTAATTATTAGAAATGAAAGGTCCGAAATGAGAATACAGAAATCGAAATAAAAATTTGAGAATCGGGATGATATTTGTATTTCTATATCATGTTTGAAATACTAATAATGAAATTTAAATCTTGTAATATCCGATTTCTAATACGAATAAAAATAATGATTAAAAAAATAATTTTATCAATTATAATAATAATAAAAAATAATAAAAGTGATGGTGGTAGCGGCGGTTATTGTGGTGACATAAGTAGTATATTATTATTTTGAAAAACAAAATCATTTTCATTTTTTGTTTTTGTTTCCACCTTCTACATATGAATGAAGTTAGATGTAGTTTTCGTTTATATTTTCACTTTATTCATTTCAACAAAACAGATATAAGGGAAGAATAAATTTTTTATTTTTTATTCATATTATTTCATTTTTGATAATCATGTAACACCTAAAAGTAACTACTAATATTTACTATATAAGAGAGATTGAGAGAAATAAAAAGAGAAAATTAAAAATAGAAATTTAAGCATAAATAGAAATATTTTATCACTTCTTATAAATAAAAATATTTTTATTATTTTTTATAGGTCTAAATGTAATTTTTTTTTATCTATTCCTTTAAAAATGAAGTAATTTCTCCTCTGTTGCCTCCAATGGAACCGAATGCTTTGTTATTTATATGCTAACGTCTAAGTTAACCGACAATTTAATCACTTAAAGTTCTTAGATCCTGACTTGTGAGACAGAGGTCGATCGATTCTCTGTGCCTTTTCAACTCTTAGGCCAAATGCATGAAAATGGTCACTCATGAGTCCCATAGCCCTCCTTGTCTTGGAGATAGAATCTTCCAACAAAGTGCCTGCCACTAAAAGTTTGATTATGGAAATTATCTAATATCTTTCAAAATGCTAAACGTATCAGGGAAAAAAGAGGGGCATGAAATGGCTTTGAACCAGATATTTGAAACTTCTCTGCTATGGGCTAGTATAGACGCTGGACTGTATCAAGGTTGCTCCATACCTTTTTTAATGCTTTAGAAGACATTAAAGAAGATATCTATCTACATCTTCAATTTCATTCATCAAAATAAGTGCTGAAAATTTGGCTATGAGTACTCCGCTGTGTTCCCAACAGATATAACCAAATTTGGCATGTTGATTAGGCAACCTACCCTGGCTGGCTAGCTCTTCCTTTAATTATGCAAGAATCAATTCCAATTAGGAGCTGAAAGATGTACCAATTAAAGGTAGAGCGTTTTTTGACTTAAAATTAAAGATAGTGAATGATTCTCGATCACTTAAATAGATAATGAGCTTAGATGACATTTGTCATTTGAACATCTCAAATAAACAATATCCGAAAATAGAATATCTGATCAAAATTAAAAAATGATTAATGCTTTAACAGGATGCTACTACATTTTCTATTTTCGGCATCCTAAATGAAAAGAATAACATACACTCACTGTTACGACAGAAAAAAACACGCATTTAATAAAAAAATTCAATATTATTTTTGTCTAATCGATACTAACCCCAATGATATTGACGACATTAAAAAACAAATCACATGAAAGGAATAGGTCCTCCAATTTGGTATAAAAAATTATCGACAGCTTAAGAATAGATTTTTTACTTCTTTCACTATAAACTTGACAAAAACCTCACTATATTAGAACAATAACCACTAAAAAATTTTGGTGCCTACTCTCTCTCTCTCTGCATATTATTGTTTATTATCTCTTGCATACATACAAAAATATACTCAAAGCCTAATTAGACCTATCCTCTCTTCGATCAATGACTTTAACCATTGAAGGGTCCTTAGAAAGAGTCGAGGATACTTATATTACACGTAATTTGAACAAAAATAATCTTCACAAATCAACAATTTATATCGTTAATTATCGAAGGTCCTTCAACTCATCGAAAGAGTTGAAAAGACTTATCTTCCAAGTAGTTTGAGCAGAGAAAATCTCCAAAAACCAATCATTTCTATCGTTAATCATCAACCATAAAGAATCACATTATCATTCATTGTTATTTGAGTTTCGAGATTCATCGATAGTATTGTGACAATATTTTAGAGTTCCTAAGATGTTACCATGTTATAGTAATTCTATCAATTTAATCACTTTGTAACCACATTTGATAAGATGTCCAGAGGCTCATAATTACATAGTTGCTCTTGATCTTGATGGCTAACAAATTGCTTAATCTTATGTAAATCTGTAATTTTAGGAAGTGTAGGACCTTATTACCACATGCATATAGTAAATATATAATAATTTCATCATTGGTATCTATGGATGGAAATAGGTCGGATATGAAGCAAATATCTATGCTACTAGATCCAATAAATACTTATTAAAAATATCTAATAAGTATTAAAATGAGTGAGGATATATATATATAATTTCAGGTTATGAATACTCACTCTATACTCTATTAGTATCTCTATTAGTATCCATTAATTTATTTTATTTTATTTTTAACATGTATGGATTTAATTACACAAACTTTAAAAATTAGGGACCAAAATATGAATAAAAAATAATTTAAGGACCAAATTTTAAAAAAAGTCTAAGAATTTAAGTGAAATATTTTGAAAAATTGTTTTTAGCAACTTTAAATGGATACTAAATGAATATATAAACTAGACAATGATTTATAGAGTAATTTTTTAATGAGAATGATTTTTGTAATAAATAGAGTAAAAATTAAATTAATAGATCAAACACCCACTATCGCCATCCTTATTGGTATTAACAAAAACAACTAAACCAAAACGTTGGCTTACGGTTTGAAATACTGTTCATTGTGACTAAAAATATTGTGGATATAGACTTAAAAAAACTGTTCCTTTAAGTGTTCAAAACCCCACTCCCATTTTTCTTTGTTCCTCTCTGTTATTCATTCGTGCCTCTCTTCTTCTTCCTCAAGCTGCTTCAGTGTCCACCCAAAGACTGCCTCTCTCCCAAAAATCCTCACCCACCGCCGATCTCCACACCTCTCAATATCAGTCCGCTCAGCTACCGATAGCTACCCTTCCACTACTTTTGCGTTGTTGTCAAGTCGCCGATCGAATATTGTTTTCTTTCGATCTCAACCATCAATCTAAAAAAACCCTAACAATCTCAGTCATTAAATCATATGATATATAAGTTCATTTTATCTTGATCTTAGAAAGCCTTCATCTTCTACCGTTCTCCTCTTTACTCAAAACGCTTGCTGCAACTGCACCCACAACCACCACACCCCGACGCCGACATCAGCCACCCATCAACTACATAGAGTTCGTATGGGGAGAGAGGGATATGGAGAACGAGTGAAGTGGGGGGAGACATTGAGAATAAATTTCTTACCTTGGCATCCGGGGAGCGGGTATTCTTTTCTAGATTTTTTTTACAAGTGTAAAGGGTGTATTAATAGTTAGAAGGAAAAAGTTTTAATTATTTTTGGGTTAATTTTTTTTGTTTTGATTTTGCCAAGTTGCTGATGAGCTAATGATACCGATATTAAAATTTTCTATTTTGCTGATTCTTTGATGAAACTTTGGGCATTGTTGTTGGGGGAATTTGTGGGGATTTGAAATCATGAAGATATTTATGAGTTGTTTGTTTGGTTATGTTGATTAGGCAAAAAGGTCTGTAAATATTTTTCTTTTTGGGTTTTTGTTTGGTTGTTCAATAAAGATGTTAGTTGTTGGCCTTTAGTAGTTGTATTGTTGGGATTACAAATCACAAGCCCAGTAGCAAGAAAAACAGTCGAGGAAAATAGAATATGGGGGAAGCTCTTCTAACGACTTTATCGATGGAAAATTATCACCCATCCACACTACTTTTGATGGATTCAGGTTCTCTTGCACATGATGAGTTGGAGAGGAAGATGAATCGGTCTGTCATTCTTTCACTGCCTCCTAATATCAATCTCTCGTTAATTGAGCTAAATTTAGTGACTATTGTTGTTTTGTATAGTTTCTAGATCAGATTTTATCGATTCAAATTTCAGTATGCGGTGATTTGGTTTGCGATTTTCAATAGCCTTCGATTGTTTATTATAGTAATTTGATTATTTTGGTAGATACAACATCAGGCTGAACAATGCTATTCTCGCCGAAGACAAGCACTTGCCTATGTAAGTTCTTTTGAGATTTATGTTTTATCAGTGTATTTTGCTAAATGTTTTACTTTTTCCAGGAGTTTGACACATTGTAGTGATGCTTATTGAATTTTATTTTTGTGAATGCTTGAAGGTACGATGAAATGGCCGGCAAGTATACTGTAGAATTCATTGCTGGAGGTAATATCAAATTTTCCTTTATTTTGGAATTTAATAATGTCATATTTTTGGAATTTTGTAGTTTGAGACTCTAAAGAGCCTTTGAGCTTTATGGTGGTCGGGTAAGTCCTAATTATTGTTTGTAAACATTATTCTTTAGAAATTAAATGTTACAGATGGAATAAGATTTTGTGTGTGAAATGCAGCAAACCAGAGAGGAAGTGTAGAATGAAATTGAAGCTCAAAGTTTTGAGTTCACAGAACAATGCATCAAAACAAACTACTATGGGGTAAGAGATTTGATTGATGCAGTAGCTCCCTTCCTCCAGTTTTCTGATTCATCAAGAATTATAAATGTTTCTTCAAAATTCAGACTATTGAAGGTATGTAATGATCCTTTTACTGGATCAATTTTTTGATTCATTAATTTTGGGTATGTAATTGGTTTCTGCGTTGTCTCTTATAGCATGTGTATTAATAAATCTGATCTCTGAATTATACATATTATTAATGGACCTTTGTTGTGGCTCTGCTGTCAGCTGCATTTGTTATATCTATAGTTGAGGTATTTGCTCTTCGTGCTTGCTTTTGAGATTATTGGTTGTGCATTGCATCTGTTCTTACACCTTTTTTCCTGCAATGTCAGTCCCATTATCTCTGTCCTTTTCTTACTTAGCTTTCTTTCTTTGTAGGTCGTGTTTTCCATTGCTTGTCTTATCTATTTAACGATTGGAAGGGAATGTCGGTTTTGTGATATACAATAATCGGAATCAAATATTTGCACAACTGAGATTATGAATTGCGAGGAATTCAAAACCAAGGTGCAAGGATACCATTGCCCAATTGGCGAAGGCCCATTAATCCAATCACAGCCCCATTCCATCATAATTTTAATTAGCTTATAAGCTCTCTAATTTCTTCAAGTTTTTTTCTTATATAATTGTCAAATCAAATCTAATTTGTGATTAGATATTTTGATTTAAAATTTACAAGTTGATCTGATAATTAAGGTGTGTTCTAATTCTAATGAGTTGGTTTGGTGGTTAAAAATATATTTTTTATTATGAGTTCAAATTTTAAAATCAGTATTCAATTGAATAATTTATTAAATTCATGCCGATTTGAGGGTGTGTTCTTAAGATAATAATTAAAAAAAAGTCTTAATTGATATGTAAACTAGTCTCAAAATATTTTTACGTAAAAAAAAAAGTATTTTTTTTAACTACTGAGGTTCAAGCATAAGATATGAAAAATTATTCTTTTATGAATTTACTAGTTCAATGTGAAAATTATGAAAAATAATTTTTTTATGAATTTATTAGTTTAATGTGAATATAAGATTGCCGATTTTTATCTAAACTACAAAAAATAGATTTGATATCGTTAGCAAAGCTAGTTCAAAGATATTTATAATTGTATAACCTCAAAAAAGAAATCGTTACTTGGTTTAGAACTATTAAGCAATTAATTGATTTATGCACAAATGATTAAGTTATGGGCTACATGGCATTATCACTGATATGAATATGATCAAATAGCTTGAAAAGGATTTCAGGAGCCTTTTGGAAAAATATGTTCTGAAGTTCATGTGGTCAAACCAAAAAGAAAGAGAAAGTGTTTTTTTTTTTTTACAATCTGAATATAAACCTAAAATCTCAAAAATAATTTTTTTTAATGAATTTACTAGTTCAATATGAATATAAGATAGCCTATTTTATTTAAATTTTAAAAATGGATTCGATTTCGTTAACCAAGCTAGTTCGAAGATATTTTTATAATGATACAGCCTAAAAAAAATAGAATAAAATTGTTACATGGTTTAGAACTTTTAAGCAATTAGTTGATTTATGCACAAATGATCCAGCTATGGACTATTTTACAAGATAACTTATATGAATATTATCAAATAGCCTGAAAAATAGCCTTTTGAAAAAAAACGTTTTGAAGTGCTTTTCGTTTTAGGGAAGCAAGAGGATGGCTTGCTTTTCGCAATTTGCGTGCCATTGCTATCGATAGAAAGGGAAGAGCAAATCCCAGGGCAAAGGTAACTTTATTACCTTTTTCCATTCTAAGGGATTGATTTTAACGATGACAAATCTTTGTTTATAAAGAGTAGGGATGGCAATCAAATCCGTCCCCATGCCGCTTTGTCCTGTTTGGGACGGAAATGGGGTGCGAAATGTTGTCTCAAATGAAGCACGAAGCGGGGATGAGTTTTCTTTTTTTAGATAGAATGGAGATGAAGATGGCTATTTTCGCGCCATATCGCATTTTTATTTTTGAAAAACATAATTTAGCAAGGCTCTGTTCCACTTCTTCTCATTTGAGGTGGGGATGGAGAGCAAAATTTCATTCTAAACAGAACACGAGATAGAGATGAGTGTTTTTTTTAAGGGATGGGGATGGCGATCCTCACCCCGTCCCACCTCATTGCCATCCCTAATCAAGAGCTGCTGGATGTCGTCGGCCCAGTCATGCCATTACTATTATAATTGCATATTAAGTCCCTCAGCTCTCGAAAGTTTCTTAAGACCGTCCTTTGCCTTTTATTTTTAGTACTTCCATTCCTATAATTTTGGTCTGTTGAGAAAGTATGTAGTCCCTCCATCTATAATATTGTTATTTAACATTAATTCAAATCACAATTTTTTATTGAATTCTATCTTGTCAGAACACGTCTTAAATTAACTGAAAATGAATGGTGTTAGAGGTTGAGGGAGCGCATCCTCAATATGCCAACAGCAAAAGAACCAAATTAAGCAAAAAATAATAGTGGAGGGATGAAATATACTATTAACTCACATATATATATATATATATATGACGTGTCTTATTAGTGAAATGAAACTTTTTTTTCTTCTTTTTGTCGTAAAAGAGCAAAAGGAATTTATTTTTCTTTCTTGCGACCCTAGCTTCTTTGATCATGAATCATGATATAAATGCATGAAGACTATTTACACTTACTCATTTTCTGAAAAAAATAATTTGTTGGCACATATTTTTTTAATGGTTCGTGAAATCTTGAAATTCAATTTCATGTTAAATAATTTATTGATTTAATAATTATAGCTAAACCTGGTTCGGAATTATGATGGCTGAGCATAATTTTCTTTTTAAAAAAAAGGCCAAGATCAGCGTGCTTTAGGAGGTTATAGCCGATCTTTCAAACAGATCTCTAAAAGCTTAAACAAACGAGAACTTGCAAGCTCCTCTCAATTGTAAGTAAGTGGCTCCATGCCAAACAGTTGACCACGGACTCTTCATTTAAACTATATCAATAAAATTTTCGGGAGAAATTTTATGTTATTCACAGAGTAATTAATGATATTTATTTTATAAAAGATAGATAAATATAAAGAAAAAAGAAAAGTAAAAAAGACAGAAATAAGAAAAATGAGTTTAAATGAAAATATCAATATCGTTTTTTTTTTTTTTTAAAGTTCAAATGTGTATCTAAGAAAAAAGAAAAATACAAAAGACAGAATTAAGAAAAATGAGTTTAAACGAAAATATCAGTATCGTTTTTTTGTAAGTTCAAATGTGTTTTTTTTTTATATTCATAAAATAAATATTGTTAGTTAATGTATCAGCGTTTTTAAATTTTTGAACTTTTAGACTCTAAACGGAGCTACCTAGTATGCTTTCTTCAAATTAATTATGAGACCTTGTACTTCTTTTACAAAATTCAAATTGGACCTAATTAATTTCTCAACAAAAAAATGCCTCACATGATAACAATTAGATGTTGAAGATCAAAAGTTGTTAGTATGCTATATAATTAAAGTGATTGAGGTTCGACGCAATGAAGAAACTTATCATATTTATTTTTGCCGAGAAAATCTTTTTTTATAAGATCTTTGAGAACATTTTGATTTTATTGATGGTGGACTATAGTTGTCCAGGGGTTCATTTTATGAGAATCTAAAATTTAATTTTTACTAACGCATTTCCCAAAGTTCTGAATATAAAATGTAATGTTAGATGTAGGGTAGATGGAATATATCTAACATTGTTTTAATGTTAAAAATAAAAAAATAAAAATTTGAACCGGGAAACTACTTTTTGTAAATAAATCATCTGAACTTCATCTCTTTGAGATTTAAAATTTTGATTGTCACTCACAACTTTTTTGGTATTATAGTTGAATCCTTTACGTCAATCTCAATTGAGGAGTCTATTGATGATGCAAATGGGATTAAAGAACTTGCAGTATAAATCAAGTAAGCCATAGATGAAAATTGATCAAATAACATTAGGGGTCAAGTCAAATCATGAGAAAACCTGTGGGAGCGAATCTATTTTTTTAAGGAAAAAAAGAGGGAAAAAGAAAACAATTTTAGTTACGTATTTATGTTGGGAAGTTAATTTGCATCTGTGTTTCATTTTAATCAATTACGCCGAAAACTGGACCAAAATGTGGTCCAAAAATCCATCCCAAGTGATAACGTCAATCGTCTATAGTGAATTGTTAAATATTAGTTTTTTTTTTTTGGCAGCGGGGAAAAAGAAATTAAGTCCTATAACAGGCTCATAATTAGTATTTGCAACAATTCATGGTGGCTAAATTGGCATTACAAGTTAGAATGGATTCGATCCTATTTTGAGTCAAATTGGGTTTAATATCGTCTGCAAATGTAAATCCCCATCAGGAAATAAGCTTATAAAATAAAATTAATTCTAGGTATATATGCAATCCCAAAAAATAGTGTAATGGTAAAAAAAAAAAATGTTTGCTCGTTGCTTTATTTTTTGAATTTGAATCTTGAATTTCGTTAAATTGATATGAAAATTTGTTTTTAATATCAGTTGAAAAGAAAATTTTATTTCAATCGATGTATAAAATGATTAAAAAAGGAAATAAAAAAAATATAACGAAAATCCCTACTCTTTCTTTTCCTTCTTTCTCTTCCCCCGATGGCTCTGTTCATGTTCAGCCAAATAACCATGACGAAGATGTACAATATTAGGATCCGTTTCGTACTTGAGCGCGCCTTAAGGTGAGCTTCGGTTCACGCGAAATTGAGTGAGCGTACAAAACAACTGTCACCATACTTCTTCACTGTAATTCCATCAAATTCGAGAGATACCCCTCACGGTTAATATATCTAAATCAATTATGTGTTTGGCTTAGGAGGTATCAATAGAGATAGAAGTTGAGTTTTTGGAGATGTGAAGCTTTTGGGATGGTGAGAAAAAAAAGAAGTAAAGATATTTGATTAAATATGTATTTGTATCGAAATTATTTAAAAAATACACATATTCTATGCTATATGTGTAATTTACTCGATAAAATATTATTTAATAGTTTTTACATAGTTAAATATACATAAGATTATAAAGTTTGTAGTGTAAAAATAGAGATTTTTTACTTTTTCTCCTTTTTTCTTTCATGGGCCTAAATGTGCCTTCACACTAAAATTTTGCATAACCATAATCCAATGGTGGAATTTGGTGTGAAAGCCCCAAATGTTGTCCCAAACTTGATCCCAACGGAAGCCTAAATATATTTTTTGATACAATTAAAGATAGTTTATCACATAAAAAAATTCATGAAAAGAAATTACATTTCATAATTTGGATTAAAATTCGAATATTGATAATCGTTAAGAAAAGGAACAGGGTATGGATCCTTGCCATTAGATCCAACAAGAGACACAAAAATGACCAGTGAACAATAGTTAGTACTTATAAGTAGCTCCTTTTAAATTAAGAGATTAACTTCTTTTGTTGATTGTTAGATTGAGTAATAATCTTTTGTATTCACAAAACATTTCTAGTCAAATGTTAAGTTATTCAATTTTTTTATGAAAATCATCGACATCTTAAAAATATGATAAATTTGTTTGTTTGGTTAATAAATAAGCTCAAAGAACCGTCTTAACATGGCAGCGCCTTGAGTTGAGCTAGAGCAACTTAATTTGTTGCATGAACTAATAATAAAAAAGAAAGTTGAAGATCAATCAAACTTTCGATATCAACCATTTTCTGTGTTTGTTAAAAAAAAAAAGGATTTTTTTATTAGTTCTTATCCAAGAACACAAAATCCCAAGACATAGACGTGAATCTAGTTGATATAAATCTAAATTAACAAAGTTATTAATAAAACAATCAACATATTGATAGATATAATATAAATATATCGATATATTTGTCGATACAACAAATAATATATAGATTCGATGATTCCTGCATCAGCACAATTGTCAACATTAATATGCTAACATATTACCCACAACATAGTAATATTGTAGACTCATGACAAGTAATGATATACACAACAATGACGTATGATTTAAATTTGTGATTAAATTCATTTGGACCGCATTGAATAAAGTAGAGAGTGCTCCTTTTGCTTTATGCCTTTCCATTAAAATTCTTGCCAGTTGAATGTTATCTCAACGGATAATTTAAAAAAAAAATCTCAAGCAAAAGTAATACCGAAGGCATTGATGATGCTCTAATGTGTAAACAGCTATTCTATTTTTTTTTTTTTTTTTCATATCTAAAGTTTGTTTTATTTCGACAAATTATCAACATTTCTTGTGATATATTTTTTTCCATATACCAGATATTATTGCATAAACTCAGTTTACCATCTAAGATTATGGATTAAACTAATAAAACTACTACAAATAATTAAATTTATCCATATATAATATGAATCTTTTTATATTTAATAATGCATTCATAATTATAAAATAAAATAATTGATAATGCATCCATTATAAAATGATATGGATAAATTTAATAACAGAAATTTTTTAAATAAATTTAGTTATACGTAAAAATTCTATACTATTTAGAAGAGACACCCTTTCTCTAACAAAGAACGTATAAATTGGGTGTCATCCACATGGACCGCGTTTTGTTAGAATAAACGGGTGGTACCAAGGACTTGCAGGACTGGGTCTACCAAACCCTAACAAAACGGCATTTACTACTCCCCCATGGACAACTCCTTTCTCAAAGGAAGGGAAGTAGTTTCCTAATAACTCATTTCCGACCCTTCATTTTTTTTTCCCATCAAGAAATTTCAACAAAAGATCCAAATTTAACGGAAAATTTCCCTAAGAAAAGTTAAAACCAAATTTGAATAAACACACATTTTACTCATTTATTAATTTACTTGATAAAAACGATTTCAAGAAAAAAAAAGAAAAAAAAAGAAGAAGGTGGTGGTAGCTAATAAAGTCGAAAAACAATTTCTAATTCAGTATTTATGAATCTCATTACCAAAATTAGTGATAAATGATGATACTACTATTTGGATTGTTAAATATAGGATTTGGCGACGAAATAAGGAAATTGTTTTGCGAGGTGTCATAATTTGATTGGATTCTGTTTGCTTGTTACATCTTAAATATCACAGCGTACGGATGTTAAGACCGTGGGGTCGTATATTATGTCTCGTCGTTACAACAAACCCAGCAGTTTTCTTGACTGGTACAAGTAACCCACCGGTTTATTTTGGCAACCTTTTTTTGATAAATCCTAAATTGCCCTTCATTGTTTTACTAAAATAAATTATGGGATTTTTTTTCACAATTAAAAGTAACAAAACCTTACTCCATTATCGATTAGTAAATTTTTAAATGATAAAAATATTCTTGACGATTTTGTTTCGCACTGAATTATTAATTGGTAAATAATTTATCAACCTAAACTCTTTTTCATTATATTTTGAACAAAACAATACTTTGTTTTTTATATCTCTAAAACCTATATTGAAATTTTATATTTTTATTAAAATACGAAACTTAAATTCTTAAGCCATTACCAAGAAAGAATCCTTTTTTTTTTTTTTTTTTGAGTAAACGACTAAATTTTAGATAAAACTAAAAATCAAAAGGTAAGAATTTTAGAGATAAAACTAGAAAAATTAAAGATTGTGACTGAGAAAATAATAAATATATATATATATATATATATATATATATATATATATATATATATATATATATATATATATATATATATATATTTTCCTTTCATTTCCATTGTAGTTGGTAGTAACAATTTTTTTTTTCATTTTAAATACTATTAGGTAGAAAGGGTAAGTTGAGAAAAAAAACAAAAGAGAGGTAAAGGTTGAAAGAAGAATGGTTGGGAATAAATTCAGAAACGGGCAAGTCTCGCATGTTACACGTCCCTCTTTCTCCCTTCACGCGAAAGCTTTAATTAAGTTTTATTTGATGTTTTAATATATACCGTTAACTAAAGAAAATCAATTACTCCTCTAAAAAAAAATTGAAAAAAGCTAATTGAAAAAAAAACATTTATTTATTTATTTAGTATTGTATATATCTCTCTTGGTGGAGGAATGCTTGTCACCTACTCCTTTTAGTTTCCACTCTCTCTCAACTTCTTTACAACTCTTTCCCCTGTAGAAAAAGAAAAATCCATAACTCACAACCTTTTTCACAAAGAAGGAAAAATCTCTTTGTTTTTAACCCTGTTTCGCTTGCTCTGTTTTCAAGTTAATGGAGAAGCACAAGTGCAAATTGTGCTTCAAAAGTTTCTCTAATGGCAGAGCTTTAGGTGGTCACATGAGGTCTCATTTGTTGAATCTTCCAATTCCTCCAAAACTAGAAGATCAATTCCCACATATTGAAGTCAGCGAAGATACTGAATTAACTTCATCTTCAGAGGAAGAAGCAGAAGAAGGACAGGGAGGACAGGGAGGAGAAAAAGAAGAAGAGGGTGTTTTTTATGGGCTAAGAGAGAACCCAAAAAGAAGTATTCGTTTGGTAGATCCTGAGTTCTCTTTTGCTGCTGTTGATGCTGGTTCTGTTGTGCTTCAAGATAGAGAAAGTGAGACCGAGTCATCAAAGAACCCAACAAGAAGACGATCCAAGAGGACTAAGAGATTGCTAGAGCATCATCATCATCAGTATCATCACCAAAGACCAAGAGAAGACCAAGAGAACAACAACACAATAAAGAAGCTTGAATTCAAGAAAATGGGTACTATTAAGGGAGCAGCTGAGTCATTATGGGGTCATGAACCTGAACCGGTGAGTTCAATTTCTGACACTACAACAGAAGAAGATGTCGCTTTCTGTCTTATGATGCTTTCAAGAGACAAATGGAAGAGAAAAGACCAAGAGAATCAAGGAGAAGAACAGGAAGTTGAAGAGGAAGCAGAAGCTGAAACAGATGATTCTGATGAGTTCAAATCTTGCAAGACAAAAGTTAGAGGGAAGTACAAATGTGAAACATGCAACAAAGTCTTTAAATCTTATCAAGCTTTAGGTGGGCACAGAGCAAGCCACAAGAAACTCAAAGTTTATACGCCAAGTAAAGAATCGAACTTGGAGCCAACAGAAAATGTAGATGCTTCTACTTCTTTGCCAGAGAAGAAAATCCATGAATGTCCATATTGTTTTAGAGTATTTTCATCTGGGCAAGCCCTTGGTGGCCACAAAAGATCTCATGTAATTGGTGTAGCGGCTTCTTCAAGTACTCCTGCAAGAAGTTCCACAAAGTTTGGAGACAATAATTTGGGTTTGATAGATCTTAATCTTCCTGCTCCAGTTGATGATGATGATGTTAGCCAAGTTGATCAGCTCTCTGCTGTCTCTGATGCAGAATTTGTTAACAGCATCAAACGGTGAATATTTTGCTTAATTTTACGGTCTACACAAGAAACGGGTTTGATCCAAAAAGTAAGAAGTTTTTTTTTTTTTACTACTTTTGCGTTTTTGCAGGATCTAAAATTATGCAAATTTGTTTTGGTCAACTGAGTTACATGGTTCTTATGTATCTCAAGACTATTTCTTAGTTCAAAGTTTCTAACTGTAATTCATTTCTTTTAGCACTGTTTCCAGTTCTGTTTCTGTAACAAACTGATGATGAGTTAGATCAACAACCATGAATGGAGGAAACTGAATAATTCTTACTTAAATTATGCTTCTTCTTCTTCTTCTTCTTCTTTTTTTACATACTATAATTTAGTGTTGGAAATTCTTGGTTTTTACATACTAATGGCTGTGTCTGTTTAAAGTTCCAGTTGTTTCACAGGTCATTTTCTTAATTTAAAATAGTCATTTTCTAAGTAAGTTTGATCAAAGACCCGTAGTATTTTTATTTTTTTTAGTAATATTATTAATAGAAAAGTAACTTCCACCAACTGTCAATGCCTGCCATTATGCAGTTTATGAGATAGGGAGAAGCTTAGCCTGAGCCCTGAAGCCAGCTAGGCTTAAATTCTGCCTTATGGAACTGTTTGATTTCATGACAATATAGTATCTTGTTCCTTTCTTTTTTCTCTCACTCAGCATTTTCTTGCTGCTTCTCTGTCTCTGTCTGAAACAGCTTCAAGCTTTTACTTAACAGATATGCTAAACTATTACAGAGAGGGTGGGAGGGAGGGAGATAGCATTTAATTAATTACTTGAAAAGCCTTAAAGCTGCATCTGATTTACCTTTAATAACTTTCCAAATGTTGGTCCTTGGTAATCTGAAAAGCTGATTGAGAGAAAAGGTAAAAAAATCTTCGTTTTTTTTCTCACTCGAGGAATAAATAACATGTTTAAGTTTGGCATGGCCAGCGTATCAATTTTGGCTCACAAATATGGAAACTTCAATCTCATTCATTAAATTTGTAATAAATGCAAAATTAAGTATAGTATCCTTAGACTTTTCTTTCCTTTTCTTTTTCTTACCGGTTAGTAAAAGTTCAAGGACCTTTTTGTCTTCTAGAAATTGAAACTTTTCTTCTTTTTTTCATCTAGAAATTCCTTTTATTTTAACAGTTGGGTTTTAGACGGATCATTTATCTCATCCGGACCCCTACATAAAAACAGAAAGAACTAATTTAGAATTCACTCTAGATTTAAACCTTAAATGATAATATAGAAATTGAAACTTGACCCAACTAGATAGGGTCAAAAAGTTGAACAGATAATTAGGGCGTGGGGAATATATTTTCCAACATGCAAAAAAATAGGTGACGTAATTAAGTTAACTAAACATGAAAATAGGGTGTTTAGCCTTGAATAGCTAAATAACTAACTGCCCATTGAAATTGGCAGGGGCATTAGAATGAGTCCATGAGACAGGGTTAAGATAACAGGTGGTTGTATTCTGACAAAGGACTGCTAAATCATAGTCATAAATTCTGCCAAAAAGCATGATTTCAGGCCTGATCGCTTGACGCATACCAAGTGAATGACTGTACTTTCCTTGTAATTTACATAAATCAGTAGGCAGGCCCTGTCGTTTCTTTAGGATGCTACAATAAACTGTGAGATGGTTCTTTCCTTTGAAATGCCTTTCTATTTATTTATTTTTGGAAATTGATTTCCTTTCCTTTTCATTTTGAAGGGATATTTCTTTTCCTTAATAAAAGTAATGGAAAGCATCAAATTGATTTCCCAATGCGTGGTGTTTTTATGGAAAACAATATTTTGGGGAAACTGTGGATTTGAGTTAAAAACCAAATCATCCTGACGCTAATAAAATTTTTAACGTAATTTTTTTTTCTACTTTTTAACAGGATCGGTGCATGACAATTTTTTTCCTCACAAATTTTCCATGATAATATATATATTATGCCCACAACTCAAAATTAGGATTAACGTTTTCTGTTTTTGGTTGGAAGAATTAGGTCGGCTAACCAAACATGTCAGTTATATGACTAATCACTTGTTTGATTTCATTACAAATACTACTACTATTATTTTAAGTGATTCGTAAAAATATTTTATTTTCAGGTCATTTAATTTAATTTTCTTAGGCAAGCAAGCCCCAATGGAAAATTATGAGGAATATACTTTAAAATTCCAAATTTCCATCACATGGCTTCATAATACACACGAGTCTTAATCGGCCTTTGAAGCCGAAAACTTGGGTGGAGCGTAGAATGTCGTCTCTAAAATATGGATGGATATGGGGTTAAAGTTAAACCATTAAATTTAAATAAATTAGTAAAAACAGATGGATTAGATTCAAGTTCAATTATCTAATATTAATGGACATCGATACATACTGATTTTAATTGTTAGCATTGCAACTAGGGATGATAATTTATCCAGTCCTGCTTCATTTCGTTCCGTTTGAAACGGAGATGATACTCAAAAATTTACCTCGAATGGAGCATGATGTAGAGATGGGACGAAATTTTTTAGGATGAGGCAAGGAAGGGGATGGCTATCCTCGCCCCTGCCTCGTCATTTTGCTTGTAAAAATTACAATTTGACAGAGCCTCGTCCTGTCCTATTCTGTCCCGTTTAAGATAAAAAAAGTATTCAAAATTTCACTCCAAATGAAACATAAGATGAAAATAGAGTGAAATTTTTTAATACGAGGCAGGAACAAGGATTGCTATCCCTGTCCCACCCATTGCCATTCCTAACTGCAACCGCACTTAGAAATCCTGTATTGGTGATATGAGCAATTTTACATTTTTAAATTCATAAAATTTACCATGTTTAAATTCCTTTCTCTCTCTGTTTTTTTTTTTAAAAAAAAATTTCAGAAAGTATGACAGTCCTCAATGTTTTTTTGATGAAGTACAACTTTAACCTCTGTCTTTCAGTCCCTCGCTCCAACTTGCCTCGACAAAACTATTTATTTGTTCAAAAAACAAATACACAAACTAAATTTAAATTGAGCTACATTTTAAAATGGGAAAAAGAATTTAGCTTTCCTGTTATAAAGAAATTTCCTTTGTTTTTCTATTGAGACTTGATACGAAAAGTTATAATTGCAAGCATAACAAATTTTTTTTCTCTCAAAATTGTGGATGAAATGGTAAAAAAATATCTGTAACTTAGTAGATTAGAGATTCGATTCTCATATTTAACAAATTCATTTCTTTCCTTTAAGTGACACTATATATGAACCGCTAATAAGTTTAAAAAATCCAGTTCTTAAAATCAATTAAAAATCATATGTGATATAACGCTGATTTATTCTAAAAATGATAAATTTAGTTTTTATTTATTTAAAAACTAATTAAAAAAATACTTCAATATCTATATATGTAATTCCCCATGTTTAATTCTTTTGAAACACATTAATGTACTTGATTTAGAAACCGGGAATATTAAGTTATCAATACAAATTTCACGAAACCTTATCGAGCATTACTATCAATATTAAAGTCCATTTTATTTCCTTTCTTTACTGTCGATGCATTTATTTATTTATTATTTATATTATTCCTATTAGGCGAGCCCCCATCCCCTGGCAAATCCCGAGTCAAATAGTATCATTTGATATATATATATATTTTTGTGTGAATGCATGCATAGACAGACAGACACACAGTTAGGACACATTCACTGTGGCAAGGGACGAATTAAGCTTGGAAACTAAAATGTTCAAAACGCTGTAAAGTTTTTAAATAAGCTACCAGAAATGGCTCCTTCCAAATTAAAAATTATACAATCTTACTTCCCAAATGCCACATCTTCAATTCGCGCCTGACTATCTTATGGTTAACATGTGTTTTGGAAATGGAATAGATAGGTTTCGTGGAATCAACGATGTGAAAATAAAAGAAATTACTAGATATGTCAGGAATTATATTTTATTTTCTTATAGAAATATAAAATTTATTATGAAAATAATTTATGAATTTTATATTTTCATGAGAGAGAAGAGTGCAGTTTATAGTATGCTGAATAATTCTTCTAAAAAATAGACTTTCACTGTGGAGTGCGTCCACATAGGAATTTTATCATAAATTATATATCACAATGCATAGCATAATCTAATTAAAGAAAAATTAGGATGCATGCTGGGAGTTGTACTATGTTCTCTTACAATATTCCATAAGTTGGATAATTCCTTCTAACTAAAAATTATTTAAAAAACACACAATGGTACTTATTTTGGATTGGACTGAATATATACCTGGACATACATATTGCCAAAGCATGTGTTCTGCTTCTTTTACAGTCCCCATTTTAGCCCTGAATTTTTTGTGATTAGGTCAACATTATCAGACTAGCTAACATCCTTCGTATGATGCTTAATAAATATTCCCGTATATATAGTGATATAGAACTTTATCACAACCCTCCCACCCTCAACAGGGAAAGAGAAGAAAACCATAGTATGCGCTCAGTTAATAAACATTACAAGGAAAAGTCAATAAAATATAGTTGAATTGGCATTCCCGTTCCTCTAAAAAATCTACTCCAAAACTTTCTTCTGTGATTAAAAAAATCTAACTCAATTCCTTAGCACTTATTAGATACATAGACTTGAGCCTATATGTGTTGTTTCTATTGGATTAGGTTAATAGATGCAAGTTACTAGAATAGGTTTACACAACATTTTCTTCGAATCTTTAACTCCAGTTCCAACCAAAAAAGAAACTAAACAAACAAGAAAGAGATTTGATTTGGCAAGCGATGATAACCGTAGTCGAAAAATGGGAATTTATATGCTGCTGTTTTTTATGGAATCTTTTTTTTTTTTTTTTTGCCTTAGTTCCTCCAATTCGATCAAAACCGCGAAGATCGAGCACGGAGTGAATCCTTTAATTGAATTAACCACTGTCCATTTTCTTTCTGTTTTTCACGATCACAATATGGTCATATACGGTGATACAGAGAGTTTTATACCACCCCAAGTTGATCTTAAGAATATCCCAATCAAGAAGTACCCTTTAATTGCCTACCCATTAAAAAGGATATGTCCCCTTCAAGTGTAACTTTTCACCTGGGCTTTTCATAGCCATCCTTGGAAAAAAAGAAATGAGTTCCCATGATGTACCTTCCGTTATTCACTCACTATTTTACGATGCTTCTTATCTTTAACGCTGACCTAATCAGCCAAACTCATCAAAAAACTGCAGGCACTACAATGGCCAAGACAGATTGGGTTGGCTGGCTGGCTGGCCTTTATAGTTGAGAAATTGAGATGGCCATATGAGTCGGTGGGTCGGTCTTGTTGGCTCCTTTTGAATTAAGATTAAAAAATTAAAAAGGAACCAAAAAAGGCTAGTAGAAGAAGGTAATTAAGAAGATGAAGATTATATGGGAGTGAGTGCCACTTTTTATTAATCTCCACTCTCTTTGAGTGGTGGGGAACGTAGAAGTTTGAACAATGGGATAGAAAAGAGACAAACAAAATCCCCCTTAATTTGCCGGCTTATGACCTCCAAAAAGCCTCACGAGTATGAGTCAACAGTGTGCTCTTTTTCCTACTCTTTTTTATTTCTTCATTCAAACTTCTAGCAAACACTACACCATCATCATCATCATGAACAATGAACATTGTTGAAAAAATGCTCCCCCTCCAAGTTAATTCACTCTATAGTAATTCGAGTGAGTAATTTTTTGTTGTGAGTTAATGACAGAAAGCTAGTCCACTTGACACGGTATGGGCTCGATGACAAGCTAAGGAACAGTCAGCTTCCAAGCCACTAGCTAGATAAAGTATTTGTAACAGGACTTGGCATGACTTTCTCCATGTGCATTTGTTGGTATTCTAGCTCTGGGTTTATCCATATTTGACATGTTGTGAAGCTTAATTGCTTAAGCATGCTATGCGTTATTAGGAATTTTTTTATAGGATATTGCAGTAATTGATGTAGTAGCTAGGGGAAATTCTTTGTACCGATCTTTTTTACTCAACGAAAATGTAAGAGTAAGACTCGAATGCAATTCCTATACGTGCAATAGTTGGACCAAAAATTAATGCTAGTTAAAGCAGAGAAAATATCGAAAATCAAAATTCCACAGATATGTTAATGACTCCATACATACTTCAATTGGACTTATGCCACTCATTCGTTGAGACAGATTTCAGATCCGAAACTCCCTTTTTAAAAAAAAAAAAAAAAAAACAAGAACTAAGGATATCATGTTAATTAATGAATGCTAGCTGAATGTTGATTTTTACCCTTGGTATCATGACAATCACAGTTATTTTAGCAACGATTTGTTTTTAACATAATGCAATGCCTTTGTTCAGGAAAAATACACAAAACAAACTGAACAGATAACAGATTCAATTAAAGGTAGTAATTCCTTGGTAACATGCAGCAATAATTAACAATATTTGGCTGATAAGCAAGTGTAGAATCTAGGAATCATCATGCTGTCCCATTCTTGGCCACTAACGATGTGCATGACAAAGCAAGAAAAAAGTCAGACCGGTTTCACTTACATTTGCGGTGGTGCATGCTACCTCATTTCCTATTAAACACTTAATTACAACCTAACTGCCATTAAGCTGAAAGACCTTGCATGAATTTTATTGCAAGAAGATTTCCACTGTCTAGTACATATGTGATTGCAATTGTAGGTTAGTAATATAAATTATATATTGAAATTTTATCCCATCGTTTTAATTTTTTTAATTGAAATAATTTTTTTTGATAAAGTATTAAAATTTTAATAACTAAATAATCATGATTTTGTATCTTAATTACTATCTTTATGTTCTCTTTTAATTAAAATTAAATAATCAAGCATAAAATAGTTATATATTGGAATCACGTTTAATTATTTGACGAGATGCTTTTTTGACGTTCAGGAAATCTCTAACATCCAAACGTTGGAAAATTGACACATCCTTGCATCTTCGGCTTGGACTATCCAAAAGTTGCATAAAAAGACAACGTCCATAAATTTATGACAAGAGATATCCAAATTTTAATTTATATTCTTTGTTAAATTCTCGGCAAGCAAGCAAACAAAGGATTCTAACTTAAAGACTAAGTTTTTGTTTAATCATAAAAATGACTCCTTAACAACTTGTGACACATATTGAAGATATACGACGTCCTGAATCCTTGCTTTTTGGGTTGCATTAGTTCTTCAACATTTTTCTTTTGGTTCCTTTACTTCTTTTCGGGCTCTTTATTTGCGAACTATTTTATTGCATTAGCTAGCATCCTTCTTTATGCTCTATGTAGACATTACCTTTGGTTCACGCCACAAACACCATGATTCCATGCCCCTCCCTCAAGTCATACACACTCAAATGCCTCACACACTACCAAGTACTATTACAGATGTGTCTCACATGTGATCTCTAAACTACGGTGACGGCAACAACCTATAAACCTTTAGTTTTAACCAAAGTGGATATAAGTAAGTTTGCTTCAAAATTATTATCTCAGTCAGTGAAAAAAATTTATGACAACACACCACTTTATAAATGAAATGAATGTCTTGCTTAAATAATTTGATCAAACAAAAAATTAATTTTTATTATGCGAAAACAGTTGATTCGAAAATACCGAAAGTCCTAAACTATATATATTGAAAGTTAGCTTTAGATTTCCTTTTCTTCTTTTGTACTTGGCTGTGTATACAATGCACCACTGGTCCCTATTATGATTTATGTATGTGGCACAAGAATCGTGAAATTTGTAACGATAGTAGTTTGGTGCTGTTTTATAGACATTGTGGTCCTTTGCATCTGCTCTCGATGTCTATCCTTAATTAGTTTCATTATTACACATGTTGCACTCAAAAAAACAAGAAAACCTTGGCCTATGGACTTGTCCTCGTTTTCTTCCATATATTGTGAAGGGTGGAGAAATCTTATCAAATCAAGTCAAGTGAATTTGAAGTTCCTCAAATTTTCCAATATGTGCATTGTATAAAACATGTTCGTTATCTGAAGGATTTAAAATCAAATTTGGCGTACAGTACTATGACAACATATGATATAATTCAAAATTGATAAATCTTTCACTTATTTATATTATATGCGCAGAAACATGGTAGATAACTATTGATATGTTGTCATGAATTAAAAATTAAAAATTAAAAATCTTACTGCAGGGCAGTGGCAGGCCGTGCGTGAGAGAAAAACCTACTAAAATGGTATGGATTGTTTGTTTTAAGATCCGCCTCAAAAAATTTTAATCTTTATATGTGAAAATTTATTCCAGTTTGTCTCGATTGATAAAAAACACTAAAAGGAATTGCAACGATTTGGCAATGATTTCTTCAACATTGATTGCGACGTTTTTCAACGCAAAGGACGATGCACTGTTTATGCGTAGCAGAATCCATTTAATTAGATGAAAGATAAAGTGATTGGCAATAGTTATTTTTCTTTTATTTTCTTAATAAGTAGATTTTAGTAAAGTAATCGGAAAACGGTGGCAGTGCACTTTAAAAGATTTTTCCAAACATCACATTCGAGAGGACGAAAGCACCAATAACATTATGCGTGCTTGTGCTCACTACTTGCGATCAGAATATTAATGGATGGGTTCGGACCTAATTGTAATGGTTTTGAATTCAATTGCTTTAATAAATAGATAAAATCATATCTTATGAATTTAAATTTGTATTTTGTAATTATTGATTTTGATTCTAATACATTCATATGGAATTCAAATATTTATTGAATTTATCATTCTATGTTTTTTATAAAATAATATTGGTTATATCCAGACCATCCTTTGATGTAAATGAACTTTAAAGTTTGCATGTGTAAAAAAATATGTTATAATAATATTTAATATATCAATTTGAAAAAAAAATGTTTCATCATTAAAAAAATAATCTGGATAAAAAATCATATTAAAAGATAAAAATAATTTAAATTTGATAAGAAGTACGATAGAAATGAAGAAAAATAATAAAAATAACAATTTGATTATAACAAGCTTGAAATGAAGAAAAAATTAGATAAAATCAAGTCTTTATCATTAGAAACATGGGTATATACCACCAACAACTAGGTTTTTTTTTTTTTTTTTTAATATGGTTATAGGATTTTTCACAAAATTAACTCGAGACTTGAAAAAAAAAACTGCTCATCTAATTATTCAAAAAAAATAACTGTTAATATAGAAACAAAAAAAATAGAAGTGTTATCTAGCATGTAGAGTAAATAAATCTTAAATCTAATCCAAATGCCATATGTTTCTTATTTTTATATTTATGTTTTTATATGTTATATTATTAAAATAATATTAATATTGGATTGAATTATTATACGATCAGCTCGAAATAGACTTATATTTGATTCGTTTATTAAACAAATTAACAGATTTAGAATTCGAATCATAAAATTTGCATATCAAATTTTTTTAATCACATCAAAATTAAATCAAATTCGGATATTATGCTATGCATTGGCTTACTTTTTCTTTCCGCGTGAGGTGTAGTCAATTGGTTCAAGTTGATACATAGAATGACATTTTTGAATTAAATGAAATAGATCAAATCACATTGACCCATTTATTTATAGGCATGATGAACCATGTTTCATGTCCAACAATATCGAATGGAAAGATCCAAATCCTTTGCTTGAGGGAGTCTATGCTTTGAACGTTACAGTGTTAAAATTTGTCAGAATCGCTGAAATTGAATAAAATAGCAAATTCAATATAACGTAGACATCTAAACAAATCCTCAATAGATATATAGATATTAGTTCTAAAAACGATAGAAATAACTCTCGGAACAACAAACCACCAAATAATGTATTCATGGTGTCACCAATACTGTTGGATTCAAAATGATCCCTTCCGTAGCGTGGTTTATAATTACTACAATTTCAAATTTGATTTTTGACGAGGAAACCGTAACCTAAATGTGAGCAAGTTTGCTGAATGAATAGTCACTTCATGACAATAAAAATAAAAAACTAAAATTACTTTCCACATTTTTTTTTATTTGACGTTTAGAATATTATTGGATTAACTTTTTTATCTGTGGTGACTAAATTTTTCATTGAGTGATCTTAAGAATATATTATTGACGTTGATGTGATATATTAAAAAACTTAATAATTTTTGTCTGGATACTAATTTTAAGGTATGAATATAAAAAATTAAAAAATAAAATAATTTTTTGTAACTATCAGAACAACCAAATCTATTACATTACAAAATTTTCCTATTTTTCTAACTCGCTCTTCGTATTTTTGTTCTTTAAGGGTACTTTAATTCTTTGGTGGGATGTCGGCCGCAGTTTCCACGAGTCATGCTCTTTCAAATGGATTGGACGTTTGACTTCTTGCTCAAAATGATCATATTACGAAGAAGAAAATTATGTTTTACCTTTAGATTTTGAATTTGATTATAACTTAGTCTATTTCAAACTCATTGACGGGTGATTTTCCTTGTTGCTACTGATTAACAGGCCTTTCCCATTTTCCACTGAAAAGAATTATGTTTTAACTTTGGATTTTAAATTTGATTATAACTTAGTTTAGTTTTTCATGCTCGGAAATCTATAAGTTAGTCATAACTCATGTTGATTGTTGTATTATCAAAAAATTATTTGTTTTTTTAATAAACCCCAAATCTATCATTTTTCAATCTAAATTCATATCAAATATTCAGCAAGTAAGTTATAAATCAGTCTTTATATTTTTTAAAAAATAAATTATTAGTTTTTTTTCAAAAAAAAAAAATCGGCTAGGCTCTTATCTAGCATATACCATGTTTAATTCCATATTATTTTATTTTAAAATATCATTTTTTCATCAATCATTTCATACTTTTACTTATTTTTACTTATTTTGATATTTTTTAATAAAAAATCAAAATAAATTAAAAATAAAAAAAGGTACAAGAGTATTTAAAAATATAAAAACTAAATAATTATTTTTTTAAAAAAAGGATAATTAATTCATTCATAGAAACTATTAGAGACTAATTTATAATGTACTCAATAATTAGCACAATGAGGGTCTAGAAGAAAAAATATATTTTTTAATGAGACAACAATCAACGCTGAATTATAGGTTTCCAAACATAAAGGACTAAGTTATACTTAAATTAAAAATCCAGCTACTAACAAATAAATTACTATTTTCCTATTGTTTGTAAGAAGTGCATGTTTACGGTTCTATTAATACTAGAAACAGATCTAAAGAATTCTCTTGCAGAGGGATGGTTCATTTCTTTCTTTTTTAAACGAATGTTTACCTCTTCATTTGAGTTTCCTGAAAATAGAAACTTATTTCAACATGAAGGGACCTTTCAGGACAACAATGTCTCGGGTAAAGTACATAGTTGCTCCTGTGGATTTATAAATGCATTCTTATCACTGTAGATTCCAAAAACTTTAATATAGTCTTGCTCTTAGATAACTAATAAAATTCAATGGAAAGTTCATCCTTTTTATCATATGCTTTATATCTTTTTTTTTTTTTCCTATCCTATGGTCTTAAATTCATACATGTGATCACACTTCACAAAAATCTGCTAATGTCGTTTTTAAAAAATGAATCCGTCATTGAATTTCATTTGCTATTTTATACTCAGGGGTAAAAATAGTTAGATTTTTTTGAAATAATTTGGATAACAATATTAATATTGTTGTTTATTGAAAATGATGCCAAACCATTGATTTACGCTGTCAATTCCCGCTTATTCAACATCGGGGAGGCTCATTCCATCATTGAAAAGGCTATTATCTCTCCTTCATTAGTTATTTTTGCTTTTATTTTCTTTGTTGTAATTGGATTTCTCATAGTGTAGTAAAAAAAAAAAATGATAAAGATTCTAATTTTCTCACTTAATTTATGAGATAGAACTATCTTTGACAACAAAAAAAAAAAGAAAAAAGAAAAGAAACAATCAACTTTTGACATGGAAACTCATGATCTAACATAATTTCCTCCTTCATTAATTAGTACCACTGTTTTAGCACACGGACAGTTACTTACAGCAACAAGATTAAAACTCCATTATATCTTCAAACTTTCACGATAATTCAAAGCCGTCGGCTCTAACATTGAAAAGAGGTGGACTACTTTTGTTACAATTAATGTTTTTCGAATTTGAAATGGTCAATTTGGTAGCTATTACTTAACATCGAAGTTAAAGGTGCGTTGCTCATTTTGAGTCTTTGAGCTTTTTATCTCATCCCAACTTTACAAGAGCATGCCGTGAAGAAAGGAGTGAGGATTTCAAGATAAACAAAATGAAAAAAAAAAAAAAAAATTATCTAGAGTTGGAAAATCACATCTATCTTTATGCACAATTGGTCGTGAAGTTAGGCCAACTTGCCTGAAATTATCAAAAGTTCTCTCCTATGTTAGTGCCACTAATTTTCTCTTCCATTAAAACTTCAACCAGTCAATCAAACATATACAACGTGCTGCTCATCATGTTTAATTAGTTAATGATCCAAAATTTCGAGGGATGTTTCTGTTAAATCTGATAACTCTTAGATAACAGTATTTGACCGATAATAATTCTATAATACCTTGGGTCTTGGCAATTCGCCTACACAGAAGAATTTTGCAGCACCAGCACCAGACTTCATATCCAGCAATTTCATTTTTTTAAGGAAAAACTACAAGTTTTAGTCATAGAAATGCAAAATTATGGAATTAAGTTGGGATAAGGTAGGATTTGAAAGTTTTATTGGAATATTTGTGTTTTCCTTGAATGAAAAGAAAAAAAGAAAGAAAAAACCCAATTCGAGGAATCCTCTATGTAAATTGCCTAAAAAGATGAATTATGTAATTAATACCATCAGGACTTTATACATATCGGTACTTAGTCTAGTTGGTATTTACAAATGGTTTAGATACTTAGTTGTAGGATCTAGGTTTAAATCCGAGGCGAAGCTGGGGGTTGGCTGGCTGGTGGTGGCCAAGATGGCCTCCCAAAGTTTTAAGAAAAGTCCCTAAAATTTATTAATGTTTTCAACAAAAAAAAAAAGTACAATTTTTAATATAAAATGACCCTTCAAAATGAATGAAGTGGCATAGTGGTCGCTTATGAGCAATTTGCAAACCCATTCTTCATACGTATGAGCGATCTTTTCATTTTGGTAGATTGATCCCACCCCCACGATAGAATTTCCAACTCTGTCACTGGTCCAAATTTTTAGAGAATTGTAAAGCATGCCAACTTGATTGATTTTTTTTTCCCCTATAGATGATGGTGTTTGTGGTTGTAGTTCTAGCTTCACAAAGTGTAAAAACGAAAAGTTATGGAGGCAATGTATGTTGCCAATACCTATAATTCTAAACATATATGTCATTGATTTGTGCTATAATTAAGTTTTGTAACCACCGATACCACGTGATTGAAATGTATGTGCATAAAAAATAAAAGGTTAGCTTAGCTGTTGAAATCAAATTCCTTTTACACCGAGTACTCGAGTAGGACTTTCCCTTTGTTTAGCTCAATAAATATTGATGGTTGTATTTTCAATAAAGAACTTTTTAAGTTAAAATGAATGACACACAACATGTTCTGGTATTTAGTATTCCATCATCGGAAAAAAAAAAAAAGTGATGGGTGCTTAATTGCAAATTTGTAGTTGCCTATCAATGATATTAATTCAGAGAGAGACACATACAGTAATATAAGAAATTGGCTTAGAGATTGCTGGTGATAAAAAAAAAAAATAGCAGGCCTTCATCGAGGAACGTTCTTAGCTATCTAACCATCCTTTTGACAATCAACATCGACAACACCCTTGCAGAATCTATGCCTCAAAACATGGCTAGCTTCAATGACCGCTGAGATATAGCTAGTTGTTTCTTTCTTTTTTCTCTCTAGAAATTAAATAAGTTTGCCATTATTTGTCAACAACAGTTTTAGGTTTCTGTGGCTTTTTCTGTTGACTTTTCAAAATTCTTGGTGAGAGATTTTGCTCCAGGACTTTATCCTAAATTCCCAATCCTGTTACCAAATGGAGTTGGGAGAAGAGCAATAGGGCATTGAATTTGAAGGGGACTTGACTCTAAGATTCCAGTGTCTAAAGTCTCGTATGGTTGTCAGTGTCCAGACTTCATAAAAGTGAAACCATAAGTAGGGATGCCACTTGTCAGGCAAAAATTGGACCAACTGAAAAAATTCACCCGATTTCTGGTCAGAGAGGTTAAGCAGACATCATTAATGTTTCCCATTTCTTTGGCACTTGACCAAACTAAATCAAACAAAAACAAGGGACTTCCCCAAACAAGTAAAAAAAAAAAAAAAAAGGACAAAATTGTGAAAATTTCAGATATTGAGGTTCTTTATCTCATGTTAGGGAGCTTCTTGCTTAGTAAATGGTGAGCCCACGAAGGATTGGTTCGCAGGCCTATACATCACGGCACAAGGAGCAAGAAAGTTGGATAACCACCATTGAAACCAGTTTAGCCAGTGAAAGGGTGACTTTGCCGTTTCTTTGAGACTTCTTAATTCGTAGTCTCGTATTACTAAAATTTTGTCTTTTACTTTTCTTTTGTTTGTGTGTATATACATTTTTTTTTTTTGGAGGGGAGGTGGGTCATTTTCGTTCTCTATATTTTACTTGGAATTGGGACGAGGGAGGAGGATTCCAATTGTAGTTGTTGGATGAATTAGCTTCGGCTCACAAGGGAACCCAATGAACCCAATCCCGGCCCAGGGCCTATTCTGGTCTGTATAAGTTACATTACGAGTTTTTATATGCTACTACTAGTTTTGTTTGTTCAGCTTGGCTGGGTTGAGAAGTCCATTAACAGCAAATATATATATATATATATATATATATATATGTGTGTGTGTGTGTGTGTTATTTACTGGAAAAAATGATTTATTTGCAAGGAAAAAAATAAAAAAGCGTTTTAATTTTTATTTTTTTCTGACCACTTCGTTGATATAGATTTTGTACCAAAAAGGATTTACTGAAAGCCGTGAAGGAAAATGCATTTGTCTAAAAACTGATCAGATGCATGTGTTATATGTTAAATGCGTAATTCATATAATAAGGTATAATGTTATTCCAATGTATCAACATTAGATACATGCATACATAGATAAGACAAAGGTATACTCCGTATATCAGTTATATATTTACGAAAAGATTGGGCTCGAAGCTCATAAAATTCCAAAATGCAACTTTGCAAATTGGGTTTGGATATTGTAACATGGACATACAGCTAGCTTTTGTTAACCAAACGAACTAGCAGGGTACGGTTGGTTGAGCTATTCTTGTAGCGTTTCTCGATAAAATTTAGAATTTAAATCTCATATATCCTAATTTGCGGTGATGTATATATGATGGTAGTATTTTTAGAAAAAATCTTGAATTTTGTCTCCCATATAAATGTGGTGGAATTCTTTTTAAACAAAAAAAAAAAAAATTTGTATGATGTAGACGCAGCGTTTCATACTAAAAAAAAATATAAAATAACCTATTTATATTTTTATTTTCATTGCAAAAAAAAAAAAAAGGTTATGATTTTTCTTTTCCAAAGTCAGGATATCCTAAAAGCCTTCTAATAATTTTGCCAAAATGGTGGTGCTTGCATTTCGTTTTTATATCATTGGAAACGCAAGTTCCAAATAGCTACGAATAAGGTTGGGGGCTTCTTTCATGTGTTATTTTAATGTTTGGGTATGATCCGTGGAAACATTCCGATGCAAAACTCAGCCCTAAGAGGATTTTTACTTTTGCAAGAAAATGAATCAAACCATCTAACTTGCTGAACAAAGACAAGTAATTCTTTTTGTGTGGATGAGTCCTGGTGTGTTTTGATGTGTTCATGTGTTGCCATGAAATGGCTTTAATATAATTTATTAAGAAATTAAATACAAAAGGGATTAATTAGAAAAAAAGATTAGTCATGAAAATAATCCAAGACACATGGGAGAAAAAAAAGCTATTGTAAAACTAGAGAGGAAAAGTTTTTTTTATTGTTTTTTTTAGGTGACACATACATATAAAAAAATTATTTTTCAACTAACTATAAAAATTAAAACTACTCACGATCAAAAGTGGACTCATAAATGGTTTTAATATAATTTATTAAAAAATTAAATACAAAAAGGATTAACTAGGGAAAAAAGATCAATCATGAAAATGATCCAAGATACATAGGAAAAAAAAAGAAGCTATGTACAGCTAGAGAGGAAAAGTTTCTTTTATTGGTTTTTTAGGTGACACGTGTATATGAAAAAATTATTTTTCTTTTGATTCTAATGAACAAACTAATTATAAAAATTAAAACTAATTAAAACTACTCACAATCAAAAGTGGACTCACAGAGTAAACATTATACATGTATACTAGTTATTCTTTAAGTTTTATAAAATTTCTCCAATTTTCAGTATTTTTTTGACCTCTTTATTTGTTTAGCTTTTATGCGTTTTACTTTAAAGCAAAACAATAATAATAAAAAAAAGTATTTGATAATGAATTTAAGATTTTATTTCTTAACTTTTAAAAGGACAAGATGATTCTATTTGAAGATACATTAGCTTTTACTTAAAAATACATAAAAAGTTATATATATATATATATATATATATATATATGAGATAAAAAGCTGCTCATTCAAGTTAAAAGAAAAAATAATCTTAAAACAAAAATCTCCATATTATATGCATGGATGTTATTTAAATAAAACGTTATTTGTATGATGTACCAATTATTTTTTAAACTTGTATTATTATTTTTTTAAATATTTGTTGATTAAATTATCCATTAAATTATATAATATTTACCAAAGAGCTTATAGCCTAGTAATAGTATTTTTTTGTAACAACGGATTCAAATTTTAATAGACTAGTTTTGTTAGAAGCCTTGGATGTATGAGTAAAAAATAAAAAAAAATTATATAATATTTATATTTACTTAAAAAATATATATAACCAACGTAGTGTTTAAATTTTTTAAATTATATTCTCTAGAATTTTTTTTTTATCAAGAAACACATTTTCAAGTAATTTATTTTAATTTACTACAAAATTCTCAAGTTTATAACCAAATAATTTAATATATATAATTTCACAACATAACTACCACTACCAGTACAATCCCCACATAGCACATCAGTCACCGGGGGCCAAACAAAACTGTTATACATCCCTGCTCATTCGGATAACCCTCTCGAGAAATTTTAAAGACCCCGTCCCGTGGGTCCCTATATACGCGATTAATTTCTTTGACATGGACCCATGACTACTCGCCATAAGGGTTGTTTGGCTTTGGAAGGTAGATCTGGCGCTTATCACTTATCATGCTTAATTTTCAAACTTTTTGTCTCCACATCATCATCATCATCACCACGTAGACATACTTCTTCCTACCCTTTTTCGTCTCTGTCCCTCTCTCCCATTTTCATGGTCCTTTCTCCCTGCAACAAAAATCCCTAACTCACTCATGGCTCATAGCCAATTAATCGACTCACTCACTTCTCACATCTCTCTCTATCACTCCCACTCCCATTCCCCCTCCTCTCCAAACCCTAACCCTAACCCTAGATCGCCAATCTTAAAATGGTTCAAATCTCTCACTGTTCATCAACGCCAATCTCACTTAACTATCGTTGATTTCAAATTCACTCAAATCCTCCTTCAAATGCTAGCAAAATTACACTCTCACGGTCACTGTCGTTTCATTATCCTCCCGGACGTTCCCTCAAGCGACCTCCCTAGCCTCTGTTTTAAGAAATCACGTGGCCTGTTGTCCCGGGTTGCTGAGTCAAATGAGGCGGAACGACTGGTTTTTGAATCCACTCAGTTGTTTAGTTCTAGAGAAGGGGAGAAAGTGGAGGACTGTAGGTGTGGAGTTGAGGGTTTGGATTCGGTTACGGTTAGTGAGGATTTGATTGAAAATGTTGAAAAGTTTGTCGAGTTAATGGATGACATTTCGAATGGAGGGTTTTTGAGAGGGGAAGAGAGTGGGTTAGGGGCTGATTGGGTGGAATTGGAGTGGTTAAAAGCGAGAGGGTATTATAGTATCGAGGCATTTGTAGCGAATAGGTTAGAAGTGGCGTTGAGGCTGGCGTGGTTGAATTGTGGGAATGGAAAGAAAAGAGGAGTGAAGTTGAAAGAGAAATTAAGCGCCTCAGGCGTGGCAGCGAATGTGTTTTGGAGGAAGAAAGGCTGTGTTGATTGGTGGAAGAATTTGGATGAGGAACTTAGGAGAAAGTTTTTAAATTTTGCACTTGGGAAGGCGGCAAAATCATTGGTATGGTTCTTTTTCCAAATTTTATTGTTTTGTTTCATTGTCAATATATTTTAGTGGTATTTAATTTTTTGAATTTGATTGACAAAGAAGTGACTGTTTCGAGTGAATGAGCAATTATGCTCCTTGGTTGTTTCATCATTTTTCAGTGCTGCAGTAAATTGCATAACGTATTTATATGGGACACGGGGATTGCCCATTGTGTACTGCTTTTTTCTCAATCTGTGATTCCCATTAATAAAAAGCTTGCCTTGGAAATTTTGTGAATTATTGTAACTTTCCAAGAGTTTGGAGATGCAATATTTGAGAATGTAATTAATGTTTTAGTGACATTTCACCTTTCGAGTTCTTTCCATAGAAGAATATATATATATATATACATATATATTGTGCCCTAATTTTTGGTCATTACAAGTTCTCAGACTTGTGAAATTCTGAAGGATGCAAATGGTTTGTCGGAGTATGAGACGTCACTGTTTAGACCAGGAGTGCAACAACCTCGGAGAGACTTGTATGCTGAATCACCACGAAGGACTTTCCTAAAACCTCCTGCTGATGCAGAATTTGGCTTGGCCCTACGGCCTTCTCTTTCTCGGAAAGATGCCTCATTTGCAAATATGTTTAATAGCTTATTCGTGCTTCAGGATATTGTTAGTTTGATGTTGCCAGATCGGGGTAGTGAGTGTTATACATCACAGGTATTTTTTAGCACGTTGGGTTCTCTTGGCACCCTTTCTGATTGTATATTAAGAAAACTACGAGGACTCGTGATGGTTATTTCACTTGATTGCACAAGGCTTGAACTTCTTGGAGAGGGAAATTTAAACTTGTCATTCAGTAAACCTAGCGAAAAGCTTGGTGCAGGTAGTCGTAGAAAAAAGGGGAAGACTCATAATATGAAAAGGCTAAATCCCACACCAGTGGCAAGTGTGGGTGAGTCTTCCTTTAACAAACTTACCGAGGTACTGTTTCCTCAACTGTTAAGTTTCTAGAAGTACTTTTGCATTTAAATATATGCATTGAAATCAGTTAGTTATGAATCGTATGGATATTTCGTAGGATCTCAAATGTGCACCGCCCTGTAGCAAGAAGAAAGAGTTGATGGAGTCCAATGGGATGCCTGGTATTCCTCATGAGAATGAAAATCACAGAGAAATATCACCTTCAACGGTTGAAATGGTTACATAGCTTTTCATTTGGATAATCTTTCTAATTCACCATTTGAATGGTTCATAACTGGTGGCCTGTCCTCAGGAACACGCTCAAGGATTGGTTCTTGGAAAAAAACGAACTGCTGCAAGGAAGAACAGGAAAGGAAGAAATAAAAAGAAAAACTCTAGCTTTAACAATCCAGTTGAACTGCAAAAACCCGAAATTGCAGTTGCAGAAGCTCTCTCCTTTTCTGTTTACTCGTCAGATGAGGCAGCAAAGCTTTGCGGGGCATCTGATAATTTGATTATACAGAAAGCATCAAATGATAGTTTAATTGATCATTCCATTAATGAGCCCACCAGGGAGGAGATAACCCTTGACATGCCAGAAGATCGTGTTGTTGGTTGCACTGAAGGAATCTCTGATGCAGGTCTGGAGGATTACCGATCTTCAAACTGTTTTATTGACAATAAAAGTATGCCATCCAGAAGTGAGTCCTGTTGTGAGGCAGGCCAGAATGTAATATCTCAAGTTGCAAACACAAAGGAGCTAATAACTGTTTCTAGAAATGAAGGCACCAGTTTTTTGAACAAAAAAACCGAGGTTAAATCAGATGTTGGCAACAAATTAGTCAAATCCCTTGATGTAAGAGAGGAACCCACCTTAACTCAGGGAGAAGAGAGTGAAAATTTCCACGAAACTGGATCCAAAGGCGTTTCAGATTGCCTTTCATATGAGTGGCCTAGTTTAGGTCCTGTCTACTTTCCATCTATAAATTCACACCTTCCATGTGCCACGGATAGATTACATCTGGATGTTGGTCACAACTGGCATCATCACATTCGTCAACCTTTTTTACCTACAGTGCATCAGACTAGAAATTCTCCTGTTGAAGGTGGGTCCAATAGGATGTTGTCTCAACCATTGCCAATGAGTTTAGATTGGCCTCCAATGGTTAGGAGCAATTGTGGGTTAGCTCCAACTATGACATGCAATTATGATTCTGGATTTATCTCGAGGCGACAATCTGCTTTTCAGAAGAGTTTAACTGCTAAGAACATGCACTACAGCTCAAAAACTTTTGATGATGAGAGGAGGTGTTCTGGGGATGCAATTGACTTGCCTGAAGCAACAAATTCACAGGAACTAATGGATGAATACGATAGTCATTGGAAATCAGAGGAAGAATATGAGGTGCATGCAGTTTCTGCTATAGACTATAATCAGCACTTTGGTGGTGGTGTGATGTACTGGAATCCTTCTGATCATCCAGGGACTGGTTTCTCTCGACCACCTTCCCTTAGTTCTGATGATAGTGGATGGGCTTGGCATGAAGATCTGAATAGGGCAGTTGATGATATGGTTGCTTTCTCGTCTTCTTATAGTACAACTGGGTTGACTTCCCCAACTGCTGCTTCATTCTGTTCTGCTTTTGATCCTTTGGTACCTGGACACCAGGCACTTGGTTATGTTATGTCAGGAAATGAAGTACCTGGTAAAGCTATGCATTCATCAACCGTGACAGATGCTGCTGCAGAGGATGATGTCTCTGGATCTTTGGCCAGCTTGTCTAGTGATGTTGAAGGCAAGACAGGAGATTCACTTCCTTATCCCATTTTGCGGCCTATTATCATTCCAAATATGTCAAGGGAAAGATCAAGGTCTGATTTCAAGCGTAGCCTTGATCACAAAAGTCCCTGTGTTCCTCCTACTAGGCGGGAACATCCCCGGATAAAGCGTCCGCCTTCACCGGTAGTGCTTTGTGTTCCACGGGCTCCCCGTCCTCCACCACCCTCTCCTGTGAGTGACTCTAGAAAGCACCGGGGTTTTCCAACTGTTAGGTCTGGTAGCTCCAGCCCAAGACATTGGGGTGTGAGAGGTTGGTACCATGATGGAACTAATTTGGAGGAAGCTTGCGTGCGCATGGATGGTGCTGAAGTTGTTTGGCCTTCTTGGAGAAATAAAAACTTCCAACCCATCCAATGGTTCAGCCACTCCCTGGGGCTTTGCTGCAAGATCGTCTAATTGCAATGTCCCACCTAGCTCGTGATCAAGATCATGTGAGTGTGCTTCTTTACCATACTGTTGTAAGTACATCACACGGTGTGTTATGAGTTGATTGTTTGATACAATTTTGATGCAGCCAGATGTTTCGTTTCCTCTTCAACCACCTGAGATACAGAACTGTCCTACACGAAAGGCTTCTCTTTCTTTAGTTCAGAGCCTTCTTCATGATGAAATCGACTCTTTTTGTACGCAGGTAGCAGGCTTAAATTTGTCCACCCCCCAACAAAAAAAAGAAAAAACAAAAAACCAGAATTACCTTTTACTTTTTTCAGTATTGTGTTTTTTAGCTTTTATTTCCTTTCATTGATGGTATGCCGCTATCATTGATTATTTGCTTTACATGATGATATCCAAGGTTGCTGCAGCAAATACAGCTAGGAAACCTTTCATTAATTGGGCTGTCAAGCGGGTTACTCGGTCTCTGCAAGTGCTATGGCCTAGGTCCAGGACAAACATCTTTGGTTCAAATGCAACTGGTTTGTCCCTTCCAATAAGTGATGTGGATCTTGTGGTTTGCCTTCCTCCAGTGAGGAACTTGGTAATAACTCTTAAAGTTTACTATTTTATCACTTAGACATATTTGCCTGTACTTTTAAGAGGAGAAACTTAATGTAGATCTTTTTCTAGGAACCCATCAAGGAAGCTGGGATTTTAGAGGGTCGTAATGGTATTAAAGAAACTTGTCTTCAGGTATGTTGAAGGCCTTCTAATTGATATTGCAATAGATGAGGCAATTATGTTATGATCACTGGTGAGATTTGCATCTTATAAGTTTTACCTTGATTTTCCTCAAAATGTCTTGCTCTCTGGCTAGGCTTTTTTGTTGAGATGGAATTTGGAATGTGTTTTTTTTTTCTTTTTCCTTTTTGAAGCTTTAAACTAATCATTAGACAAACCTTTTAGCTATTATTTTTACTATAGCCTTTTGTGAAATTAAATGCTGTATTAATTTTCCAGCACGCAGCCCGGTATCTGGCCAATCAGGAGTGGGTAAAAACGATTCACTGAAGACTGTGGAGAATACAGCTGTAATGCCTTGTATCCTAGCACTGTTTCAGCTTTCCTTGCCTTTTTTTTTTTATCTTAGTCTATTTCTTCTCATACCGGTACCTCCTTTTCTTTTAGATACCTATTATTATGCTTGTGGTGGAGGTTCCCACTGATCTGATCACTTCCACTGCTTCTAATGTACAATCACCAAAGGAGGAGCCAATTCATTTGACTGGTGAACATGACAATCATGTCCAGTCGAATATGGTTGTTTTAGAGGATTCAATTTCACCAAAGTGCCCACAACTTAATTGTGATAGCATAAAGGATGTGAAATCAGTTCGTCTGGACATCAGTTTCAAGTCTCCATCGCACACGGGGCTCCAAACAACACAACTGGTATACTTTGTTAAGAACGTAATACTTCATAAATTCAAATGATGGCTATAAATTATATGTGACATTCTACTAAATTCTGTCAAAAGAGTTAAATGGTTTCTGTATAATCACCAAAGGTGGCATGACGGAGGCTTATCTTATTTCTATATCATTTTTTTTTTCGAACTTTAGCTTCTTTCTTGACAGGGTGAAGGGCAATCTAGACAAATTATTGTCGAAAAGGGACTAATGCACAAATTGAATTCTTTGTTTGTGCATCTTGGATTGGGAATTTATGAGAGATGTTACAAATATAATTTTCTTTTTAACCCTTGGTGAATGTTAGATTAAGCATTCAATACTGGAGACCATACGAAAGTTTGATCTGCTTAAATGTTTAGTTGTGTACTTTTTTTTTTTTTTTTAATCTTTGATATCTGATCAATCAATCATTTTACTAAAAACTTACTTGCATCATGACATTTGTGCTTTCCAAAAGAAAAGTTGGTGTTGTACTCAGATCTATATGTGTCTACACATCTTGTATCTTGGTTATTAGATCACCTTGGTCAAAACTGAATGATTTGTCTGGTGAAACACAATGCAATGCAATGGAAAGAAAAAATGACCAATTTCTTTTCCGCTATTTTGCATCAAATTCTATTACAATTGACTGAATGTATTATAATGAAAGTTCACGATTCCTCATAGATTTTATCAGAACTCTTAGATGATGGATGGAACTAAAAGCTTATTGAACCCTAAAATACTTATGGTCTGTCCTTCTAAATTTTAGAATTCTCAACTAGTCATTAAATATGGGAGGTTTATTAGTGATTTTTCCTATTGAGGCTTAGTCCTCTATGTTAGAAATTGAGTCTTATTTATGGTTCATTTGGTTTGAATTTTGATGCAATTTTTTCTTAGGTTTCTATGATGGTTTTTAACAACATTAACATTGAAACTTTTTTTTTCGGAAAAAAAAATCCTTGTGTAGGTGAAAGATCTCACGGAGCAATTTCCAGCTGCAACACCTCTTGCTTTAGTACTGAAGCAGTTCTTGGCAGATCGTAGCCTTGATCAGTCCTATTCTGGAGGCTTAAGTTCCTATTGCTTGGTAATTTATCTTGCATGCCATTCTAATATCTTTGTGACTTTTCAAGTAAATGTGGAACGCTATTCTTGTGTAGTTACCATTTCCTTCACATTCATTATTGAATAGTTGATGCTATTATCAGCTTGAAATCATACATGCATGTGCATACACACTTTACAAGCTACGAGAGGCAATGTAAATTTTCTCTCCCTCCCGTTTTTTTTGCAAGTGATTGCAATGCGATCTTGGATCATGCTAGAGACAGGTTTTCTGTTGGTTATTCTTACAAGTGTCCTTTTAATAGACTTTTTAAAAATCATCTAAATTTTGTGTCTATTCAAAATGCTGAATTTTTGTGATCCCTCGTTTTTGGTAATTATGGTCTCATGTGCATTTGTGGTTTCAATTTTAGTAATGTCTTCATTGATATTGTTTAAATCTTGTATTCTTCCATCATACCTTGGAAATGAAAATGTACATTGGAACTCTACTGGTCACAACTGTTGGACAACAAAGTTTCTCTTTTTGCTTTAGCAGGGTTTTATATCCAAGCACATGTACAGGATTTGTGGTTGGATGAAACTGGATGCTCTCTTATGGTTGTTCTTGACTTAATGTGATTGGATATCTTCAGTTCTGTATTTCTTACCTTGCTATCCCCGCCTTTTGCAGGTGTTGCTAATTATACGATTTCTACAGCATGAGCATCATCTTGGCCGGCCTATCAATCAAGTAAATGTGTTTTGTACTCTATTTTGATATTTTCCACAGACGAGACATTTTACATGTTTTCTATGCTGTCTGTCTCTCTACAGACGCAGTCAGCCATAAGTCTGTTTATTCTTTTTTAAGTAGTACAATTAAAGTGCAGTTATACCTGTGACCCATGTTAAGTCAGTTTGAAGGCTACTAGAAGTGGTACATGATTCATCCGTTTTCTTTTAATTGACTTTTTGGTTGTATTAGTAGATGTTTGTGATGGCTTAGGGTTAACAGTTCCTTTAAATTGCTATTAACTGGCTTTAAACTTAAAATTTATTTGATAGTTTCTTACCTAAGATAAGAATTATGGAGGATTTTGAAAATCAAGTAGGATTCAGTGCTTGATAGTGCTCATTGCTCATGACCTCCGAATGTTTTGGTAAATTTTGCCCAAGGCATGCCCATGGATAGTGTAACCACACATTTGCGAACTTTGGCATTTTGTGGACTTTCTTACCTTTTATGGTGTTTCAAGTGTTCCTATGCTCATGAATGCCACCTATGCTCAGTAGGAATTTAGAGCAACAGTGAACTGGTTAAAAGTGAGGCTGTGAGTCTCTAAAACAGCTTCCATCACCACTTCTTGGCTAGCATACAAACCTCTAACTCACAACCCAGCCTTTTTTAGAATAATAGAGAAACTAAAGTATGCACATACATATTTCAGAAAAGATATCGTAGTTTGATGTAGCTTAGATGTGTGCAGAATTTCTTATTCAAATTCCTGATCTTTTCAACCATTTTCTGTTGGAATTGAATAACGTGCTTTTGTCTGACTTGCAATTTTTGGTGTCCTTGCAGAATTTTGGAAGCCTTCTAATGGATTTTCTTTACTTCTTTGGGTGAGTGAAAAGCTCAGGATATGGTTTTTCTTTCATTCATGGTCAAATATTGTTTATCCTTGCTGACGTAGTGTTGTAATTATGAATTGATTTATTCACATTTAATATACTTTCGCTACTTCTTGTGAATACAGGAATGTGTTTGATCCTCGTCAAATGCGTATCTCAGTGCAGGGAAGTGGAGTATATATAAATAGGGAAAGAGGTTATAGGTAAGAGCTGCAGTTTATCTTTTGTTGGAATTTGCATATGACACAGGGGGTTGTTGAATCTTGTCATTTCTATTGTGTATTGATTGATCTGCCACCTGATGCTGTAGTATCGATCCAATACACATCGATGACCCTCTTTTTCCAACAAATAATGTGGGGAGAAATTGCTTTCGAATACACCAGTGTATCAAGGTCAGCCTCCACACCACCGTTGTTGCATTTACTTTATGATAACATGACCCTCAATTATGCAAATATATAGATTTTTCTCAATATTCAACAGATGTTTTAAATTTACTTTCTTGTCAAGGATGCAAAACCTTTTCCGAGTCTGTTTAGCACCAAAAAAAAAAAAAAAAGTCACAAACATAACGCACAAAGCATCAGTCATTAACTGGCAGGACCCATCAATTTCACATTTCTCTTGATGAATAATATTTCGTAAGATAACAAAGGCAAAATGTTGAATAAGGAATTCTCAACTACTGGTGAATTTTGAGAAACTAGAGTCCTGCATTTGCAATCGCTTTCTTGCAATAGTGTTTGCTTCAGTACTGGTTGTGCAACCAGTGGACTGAATTAAACTGCTGTGATTAAAGGAATGGCTCCTTGGGCTGGAAGGTTGCAGGTCTTATTTGAAACCCAAGCAAATGGAGAAATAGTTGATAAAAGCTAGAAATGTGCTGCCTAGTAGCAAGGTGCTTAATTGAGATGCTTAATAAGATCTCACTTAAAAACTTTGAACAGAATGATTTGGGATTCCACTTGCCATGTTTTGAGGCTGGTCATATTTTATTGAGAATTGTTAATATGTGTGGTTCTTACATACACAAAATGTTTTCTGTTTCAGGCATTTTCGGAAGCTTATTCTATTTTGGAGAATGAGATGACATGCCTTCCCGATGAAAGTGATACATGTTCAAGGCCAACATATAGATTACTTCCAAAAATTATTTCAAGTATTGACTTATTATGGGGAATTTAATTATCTGAAGATTTTATATCTTCTTCAAAGGTATTCATCATGCCAGTTATAATATTGCTTACAAATGTGTTGGTATGCTAAATCCAGGCTCAAAGAAAGCTTGTTGCTTCCTATGTCCCAAAGTAAATGACCACTACAGATTACAAGGAACATTTTCAACTTATTCTAATTGATCTTCAGATTAGGAATTATACAAAAAATAATTTAAAAAACTATGTTCAACTTGTAGAAGAATAAAAACTCTACGATTTGAATAATGATTATTATAATTTGTAATTTGAAAAATAAATTAGGAACGAATGAAACCATACCTTAAAATATTTAGCGGCATTTATTTGTGGTCAAAGAGATTATTATTTTAGTTTGACCTGTTCTATCAGTGTGGTTGTGAAGGTTTTCTTTTTAGCACAAAATAGCCTACTCTTTTTTGTGATCATGTGCTGCTTTTGCCAGCTATTGAAGAGAAATGTATCGAGTTTCAAGTTTTGAATGCTCTCTATAGATTTGTGTTTACTTAGCTGGTCCCCTGCTTTTCTCCTTAAGGTGATGACCTATTCTTTTTATGTTTTTGCTGCTGCAAACAGCTTTCTGGGATTTTATTTTGTGGAAGTCCATGCATAAAATTTAGGCTTGATTTTTTTTTAAAATCATCTGTTTAAATCTGCAGTTGTTGAAGTCCTGCCTGCAGTTTTGGCAATGTCATGTTGATGCTGGATTAAGACAGTAAGTGTAAAGATTTGAGCTGGCTGCTTTGTTGCATGTGGAAGATCTGTGATTTCCCTCTTTCACTCTATCGGGAAAGCTTGTGTGTTGTCATAATTCTTTTTCATTAACGGATCTGCATCTATCATTTGTTTCTTGATTAAAATCTTGTTGAATTCAGTAAAAGAAATCCAGTTTTGGTGCAAGTTAAATTTCACATTGCTCTACATTAAAAATTGATCATGCGAGAAACTGATTCATTTTCTTTTCTCATGAAATTATCAGGACCTTTTCCATGACATTGATTTCCAGCTCAGATGTGGGGGTTCCTGTTAATGGCTGGTGCATGTTTCAGTCTGGCCTGTGAGATTTGGGGCATCCTGCATCTTCCAGGAAGTTCAGCTTGAGTTAATGTCTTCTGGTAATTTAAACTGACCTAGTTGGATACTTCTCCCTTTTCTGAATGCAATTATTTGTGCCGGCAGATGAACTTTGTTGTATTATTGCTTCCTTAAATTCCCGAGCCCAAGGCTTTTTTATTTTTGTCTTGCAATTTGATGTACCTATTGAATGATGTGATATCTGCCTGTCTGGAACATTCTGGTCTCTGCTTCAGAATTCTGAATAAACAATTCTATAATAGATAGGTAGCAATTCATGTCCACATGTCATGTTTCCGTTGATTGATGTGCTATATTTGTATTATTGTTTGAATCTTTAATTTGGTCCCACATGTTAAATAATTGGTTTGTTTAGAAAGTTAGTTTCATGGCAATTTTTAGGTTGGTTAGGTTCATTTCATAATGATTTCATGTTTCAGTCAGTAATTTCGAGTTGTGTTTGGTTGTGTTATCATATTGTTTCCAATATTGCCACCCCTTTCTGTCTTTTCTAGTCTAGAAACTTATGTCTATGGAATATATAGTTGTATACTGTCAATTTGATTTTTCTACCTGGTTAACTATTGTAAGAAGTTGCATACATTATCTGCAAATTTAATATAGATAATGTTCTTCAAGCAAACTCGGCATACCCACTGTGGTGGAATTTGACTTTGAAGCTGTCCTCTCCGCCTCCTGCTTGGGCCGTAAGGTGAACCTAGCTGCAGCGCTAGTGTTCTAGTCGAGTGAAATCCACTGAATTGGCACACGTGCAATCGCTGGTGCTTTTGGATGCAAAATGTGATGCCTGTTCTATAAGGCGCCCCATTCTGAGTGCTATATGCCCTATAAGAACAGCTTCAGTGCTTGTCTCAGCCCCTCGTACAAGCAATGATAAGATTATGCATCACTTTATTGCATATGAATTTCTTGTCAGCTTGTGAATGAAAAAAGCAAGTCAGAACTTTTCTTGACATGATGTGGGAAATTTTGGATTTTCATTTTTTGGTGTTGGAGAAGGCTATTAGAGTTGATGATTATGAACAACATTATTGAGAAAATAGTTTACTGCAATGATCATAGCTCTACTTTCTATGGTGCTTTCATTACATCTATTTTATCATAAAATTATTCACCTTTCTTGTTTGTTAGCTAACAACTGACCAACACTGCTATAATGATTCATTTCTTGCATTTCACTTCACTGAATTTCTCTGAGTTTCTGGTTCTAGGACATCGAATCACACAGCAGTAATTTTGAGCCAAAATCATCTCCCAGTTTCTTCATTTCCTTTGGACTTGAGCTGATTATAGTACTGCTCCAGCTAGCAGTGCCTTAGCGAGGGCATGCAGCTCTTCTCACATCCTGGGTTTCAGATCCATGATGGAAGAGAGAGGAAAGAGAGACCAGCTGCAGAAAACAAGGGCCAGCCAAATGTGAAATGCAAATTTGTTTGGTTTGCCTTGCACTGTTGCATTTGTTTGTAGTTGTTATTAAGGTACTGTATTCTGGATTATCAGATTTTAGTGTATTTTTACTCATAAGCTTGTCTCCCTTATCTTTTATATTTGTGTCTTCAGTTACAGTATGGGTACTATAACCAGAGATGGAGGGGGAGTATAGATGAGCCGGATCAACCGTTGGGAGTTTTGGCTTAGGAGTTTAACGTGGCATTGACTTCTAATTCATACAAACTCAAGATGAGCTGGAAAACAGTGTTACCTGATTCGCACATTTGTTTAGAGAGGATTAGGATGTAAGAATATGAAATTGAAAAAGGCCTACGATTCTGACTCTGTAGGGAGAAATGTATCAGACATTGATAATTGTTCTGCCAAGTTCATCCCTCTATTTTTAAGCTCGACCAGTGAATTGTATGATTAAGCATAACACCCTTCTCATAGTGTTCAATCGTGGTTGTCTAGTATGAGAGACACTAAGTAGATGATGACATTTAAAATCGGGTTCTAGATAACTTTTGCATTATTTTTTTTTTTTTTAAAGGTACGTTATCTTTCAGCTCTACGGTTGAACTTCTCAAAAGAAGATACGGTATCTGAGTGTTCTGTATGATGGCTATGAAAGTTCTGCATGATTACTTTCATTTCTCTCTTTTTCTTTTCTATTTTCCATTTTACGGAGTAGGATAGGCCATAGGGACTGCAGTTCAGAGGGTTTATTTGTATCTCCCTATTCACTCGTAGATTCCAAATGTAGGAAGCCAATTTAACAGCAACACAGGCAATGTCCCACCTTCAAACCCAAGTGAGGTGGGTTCTATTTCTTTCCTTTTTTGGGAGGGATGATTTTTCTAATGGCCTATTTGCCTGCTTGAGTACTCCTAACCTATCCTAATGTTTGAAAAAGAATTTTAGCATAGCATGGTGAAGTAGTAATAAAATGATAATATGGGTTCATTCTCACAAAAAAGAAAAAAAGAAAAAAAAAGGTAATAACATGGCAAATAGTAATAAATTAAGAATATGTGGCAGTTTAAATCGAAAATTGAGTTGCATTATGCATTTTCTTTATTTTAAAATCACTAATGCCAATGCCAAAAGCTTTCGTAAAGGGGAGAAATCCTAAAAACTAGATATATTAATATTTTGATTCAAAAGTTAAAAAGATTAAATTAGACATATTTATGAAGATGATTAAGCGTTGGCTCGCATGGTGACATTATGCTCATGAGGATGAAAGAATGAAATCATCGGCTAGTAGGATCATAGGAAGGCTGCACCAGTTGATCAATGTCTTGCTTAAGATGTCCCCGTCACTATCACCGGCAAGTGGGTGATACAACGAAAGAATGAAGAGACAGAAACTCAATCGAAGAATTGGGAAGGATAGAGACAGGCACAGAATCCCAAATTGAATTTGGAATTGGAAGACTTAACTGAATTGGGGACTCTTCAAATGACCGAGGGATTTAATTGATGGGTTGAGCTTAAGTATATCGAGGCTAGTTAGATTGGACTAGAGTTTTGTTATTATCCTGGTTATGGGCTTATCGGACTAGTAATATTGGGTTTGGAAATTAATATTAGTTATGGCCTGTTATTGTTAGTATTGGGCCTTCACTACTTAAAATAAATCTATCATGTTGGGTTGTTAAGTTGTTATTTGTTCTTATCTTCTAGCAATATAAAAAACAAGACAAGGAAATTAAATGAATAACAAAAATTATAACAAAC